AAGTAGCAGATATAAACATGGAAATGCCTGGAATAAAATGTTGGGTATTAATTCAATTTACGGGTGCCAATGAAAATGTCAATTTTACGAACAATTATTGACAAAAGTTATTTCAAAAGGGGAGTGCGGAATATTGCCCTAAGAAAACAAAGGATGGAAACATGGAAAATATTGTGCAACAGAATTGTTATTTATTTCAATATAAATTTGCAGAAATTGAGTGGCCAAATGTCCAATCCTGGAATTTTCTGGTCCCTGATGTACTTGCTGGATCTCATTCTATTTGATGATTCAAAAGTTAGAGCTCTTGCTTTTTCCAATGGCGATGGATGGTAACATGGATGGAATATACCAAAGCAAAATATTATGATGATAAAACGCAGAGATTCTGATGTAAGTGCATATTGAATATCTGTGCAAAGAAAGAATGGCCAACCAGTCGCGGAAAACGAGTGGCCTATGCCCCCCAAATTCTGCGACATCTCAGATGTCACATCTTGAGTTTAAGAATGGCGAATCAGTCGTGGAAATCGATTGTTTCTGCGACACGTCAGATGTCAGAATGGCCAGCCAGTCGCGGAAAACGAGTGGCCTATGCCCCCCAAATTCTGCGACATCTCAGATGTCACATCTTGAGTTTAAGAATGGCGAATCAGTTGTGGAAATCGATGGACCATAGTCAGGAGATGTTTGGCTCATAACTTTCAGGAAGCTAGGAGATTCCAGAAACAGTCCTGGCCAGTCATCTATTGCTGTCCAAATTATATCAAAACTGGTGCAGGAAGTTAAATTGCCTTTTAAATTGCCTTTTCGGGTGAAAGCATTACCCTGAAGATGGGCACCAAGGTCAACGCAATAGATGCGATGGGTTGCTCCAACAGTTTTCTCTATGCGTTTGAGAAGTGATTCCCTCTTTGTAATGTAAGGACTTCCAAGATGGAATCCAGCATATGTCCAATTTGCTTCTTGAAGAATCCCAATAATCCTGTCTGGAAGGTAGAGGGGAGATCCAGCTTGGTAGCATTCGAAATGGATTTTGGCTAAGACTTTGTCTGCAGGAAGGAATTGGTTTGAAAATTGCCTTTGCTGTTCTTCCATTGGAAAGTTGTACACCTTACCGATTTCCGAGTTTAATTTGCAACCCATAATGGTGGTAGTGGTGGTCCTAGGATAGTCTTTCCTATTGGATGCATTCGGCAGGGGCAAGGGTGCATGCACTGCAAGGCTGCTGTTTTCCAAAGGTGGGCAAGTTGAGTTGCATTCAATGAGAAGGTTTGGTGGGAATGGTTGTCCAAGCTTGAGCCTCTCCATTTCTCCAGCAAAGTCAGTAAGTTCTGGATCAAAGTTGACATCATCCACATCTCTAGCTGCTATTGGTGGGGGGGGTTCTGGAACAGGAACAGGGGAACGAACACTGCGCCTTCGTTTGGAACTCCTGCAAGCTGCTGCAGCCAGGGAGGAGGACCACTTTCTCTTCTCCCTAGTATGGGGAGCTTCCTGCAGTGAAGATTTTGGCTCATCAGATTGGAACTCGATTTCTGAGGGCAGTACTGGGGGATTGTAAACTTGTTGGCAAACATATTCTGAGGGGTTGATGGGGTTCTGATTGAGCTGCTGCCTCTGCTGCCTCCTGCCATTATGTCTATCAATTGCACCTGGACACCAACTGGAATTGTTTTGATGCTGGATAAGAGCATTCACTCTGCGGAATTCATCACCAGGGGGGGAGTGTGAAGTATAGTTCTGAAAAAACAAGGAATGAAAGCATGAAACATTTTGCAGAGAAAAAGTAGCAGATATAAACATGGAAATGCCTGGAATAAAATGTTGGGTATTAATTCAATTTACGGGTGCCAATGAAAATGTCAATTTTACGAACAATTATTGACAAAAGTTATTTCAAGAAAACAAAGGATGGAAACATGGAAAATATTGTGCAACAGAATTGTTATTTATTTCAATATAAATTTGCAGAAATTGAGTGGCCAAATGTCCAATCCTGGAATTTTCTGGTCCCTGATGTACTTGCTGGATCTCATTCTATTTGATGATTCAAAAGTTAGAGCTCTTGCTTTTTCCAATGGCGATGGATGGTAACATGGATGGAATATACCAAAGCAAAATATTATGATGATAAAACGCAGAGATTCTGATGTAAGTGCATATTGAATATCTGTGCAAAGAAAGAATGGCCAACCAGTCGCGGAAAACGAGTGGCCTATGCCCCCCAAATTCTGCGACATCTCAGATGTCACATCTTGAGTTTAAGAATGGCGAATCAGTCGTGGAAATCGATTGTTTCTGCGACACGTCAGATGTCAGAATGGCCAGCCAGTCGCGGAAAACGAGTGGCCTATGCCCCCCAAATTCTGCGACATCTCAGATGTCACATCTTGAGTTTAAGAATGGCGAATCAGTTGTGGAAATCGATGGACCATAGTCAGGAGATGTTTGGCTCATAACTTTCAGGAAGCTAGGAGATTCCAGAAACAGTCCTGGCCAGTCATCTATTGCTGTCCAAATTATATCAAAACTGGTGCAGGAAGTTAAATTGCCTTTTAAATTGCCTTTTCGGGTGAAAGCATTACCCTGAAGATGGGCACCAAGGTCAACGCAATAGATGCGATGGGTTGCTCCAACAGTTTTCTCTATGCGTTTGAGAAGTGATTCCCTCTTTGTAATGTAAGGACTTCCAAGATGGAATCCAGCATATGTCCAATTTGCTTCTTGAAGAATCCCAATAATCCTGTCTGGAAGGTAGAGGGGAGATCCAGCTTGGTAGCATTCGAAATGGATTTTGGCTAAGACTTTGTCTGCAGGAAGGAATTGGTTTGAAAATTGCCTTTGCTGTTCTTCCATTGGAAAGTTGTACACCTTACCGATTTCCGAGTTTAATTTGCAACCCATAATGGTGGTAGTGGTGGTCCTAGGATAGTCTTTCCTATTGGATGCATTGGGCAGGGGCAAGGGTGCATGCACTGCAAGGCTGCTGTTTTCCAAAGGTGGGCAAGTTGAGTTGCATTCAATGAGAAGGTTTGGTGGGAATGGTTGTCCAAGGTTGAGCCTCTCCATTTCTCCAGCAAAGTCAGTAAGTTCTGGATCAAAGTTGACATCATCCAAATCTCTAGCTGCTATTGGTGGGGGGGGGTTCTGGAACAGGAACAGGGGAACGAACACTGCGCCTTCGTTTGGAACTCCTGCAAGCTGCTGCAGCCAGGGAGGAGGACCACTTTCTCTTCTCCCTAGTATGGGGAGCTTCCTGCAGTGAAGATTTTGGCTCATCAGATTGGAACTCGATTTCTGAGGGCAGTACTGGGGGATTGTAAACTTGTTGGCAAACATATTCTGAGGGGTTGATGGGGTTCTGATTGAGCTGCTGCCTCTGCTGCCTCCTGCCATTATGTCTATCAATTGCACCTGGACACCAACTGGAATTGTTTTGATGCTGGATAAGAGCATTCACTCTGCGGAATTCATCACCAGGGGGGGAGTGTGAAGTATAGTTCTGAAAAAACAAGGAATGAAAGCATGAAACATTTTGCAGAGAAAAAGTAGCAGATATAAACATGGAAATGCCTGGAATAAAATGTTGGGTATTAATTCAATT